TGTCTCAGGAGCCCGTGTCTCTTTCAGCAGCACGTCTTCCTCAACCAGCAGTCAGAGAGAGTTCTGCCTCTAGGAGGCCTCCTTTTGAGCTTGGCAGAGTGGCCAAACCGACCAATCATAACAACAGAATTCTAACCACCTGAGAGTGAGCCTCCCATTACATTGTGTTGTGCCATTCCCAACAGAAATAACCCAGGTGGATAACATTTACTATCAGGAGCTCCTCAGCTGCTCATTCTACCACTGAGTTTACAATGACTTATGGGTAGAAAAGCCATACTAAGTAATTTACTACACTGCAATTCTGAAGTACAATGCTGTCAGTGATAATTTCCATATGCCTACAAGAGGAAGACCAGTTAATACAACTATTATTCAAATTTATGCATTAACTACTAAAGCCAGAGATGAAAAAATTGGAGAATTTTACCAATTTCTGCAGTCTGAAATTGACATAGCATGCAATCAAGATGTACTGATAATTATTGGTGAGCAGAACGTAAAAATTGGAAATGAAGAAGCATCTGTAGTTGGAAAATTGGCCTTGGTGATAGAAATAACACTGGAGACCACATTATGGAATTTTGCAAGACCAATGACTTATTCATTGCAAACACCTTTTTTCAACAACATAAATAGTGACTATATACATGGACCTCGCCAGTTGGAATACATAGGAATCAAATCAACAACATCTGCGGAAAGGGGCAGAGAAGAAACTAAGTATCATCAGTCCAAACAAAACCAGGAGCTGACTATGGAACAGACGACCATCAATTGCTCATATGCAAGTTTAAGATGAAGTCTGAGAAAATTAAAACAAATCCACAAGAGCCAAAATATAACCATGATGTACCCCATCTGAATTTAGGGAACAACGGAAAAACAGATTCAATGCACTGAAACCAAGGACTGAAGACCACATGTGTGGTGGGGTGACATCAAGAATATAAAACATAAGAAAGCAAAAGGTCATTAAAAAGACAGAAAAAGAAAAGGCCAAAATAGCTGTCAAAAGAGACTCTGAAATTTGCTCATGAACAGAGAGTACCTAAAGCCAATGGAAGAAATGAGGAAACATAAGAGCTAAACAGCAGATTTCAAAGGACAGCTTAAGAAAACAAAGTATTATAATGAAATGTGCACAAAGATCTGGAGTTAGAAATCCAAAAGGGAAGAACACATTTGGCATTTCTCAAACTGAAAGAACTAAAGAAAAAATTCAAGCCTTGAGTTGCAATTTTGAAAGATCCCATGAACAAATAGGAGCTCTGGTGGCGCAGTGCCTAAGGCATTTGACAGCTAAACAGAAGGCTGATGGTTCAAACCCACCAGCCACTCCTCCCTAGGAAGGCTGGGCAATCTACTTCCATAGTAATACCGCCTCAGAAACCCAAGAAGGGGTTGCTATGAGTCAGATCTGACTCCACGGCAGTGGTTATGTTACGTTTTTTATAAGCAAAATATTGAATATAGGATGCATCAAAAGCAGAAGGAGGAATATAGTACAAAACAGAACTGACAGACATTCAATCATTTTAGGAGGTAGCATATATCAAG